TTTATTTTTATTTCATGTGTATGAGTGTATTGCCTGCATGTATGTGAGTGCACCCATGTCGTGCAATGCTGCGGAGGTCAGAAGAGGGCTTTGGGTTCCCCTTGGAACTGGAGTCAAGGACGGTTCATAGCCGCCCTGTGGGTCCTCTGCAAGGGCAGTCAGTGCTCTTACCCACTGAGCCATCTCTCCAGCCCCTATAATTATTTTTTGGGGTTTTTGGATTTACATAGTCCAGGGTGATCCTTCTGCATCAGCCTCCCCAGTGCTGGGGTTATAGGTGCTCACCTATACCCAGCCTGGATTTTAAAAGTGCTTTTTATATTTTTAAATGGTTGAAAAAAATCAAAGGAACCTTATTTTTCCCTAAGTGAATCTTCCATGAATCTAAGCATCCATAAATAGTCCGACAGGAGAACAACCTGGCTAGTCTCTTGCTTGTACACCTGGACACACCTGAAAACCTTCTTATGCTGTAATAGGGTCAGAGAGGGTGCCGTGAGGGCTCAGCTTTTCCCTCACCTAGGTGGCCCCAGAGGGTGCATACCTCAGCCTCTGTTGGCCTGTGTCCTTCAACTTCTGTCCAAGCAGAGTGACTTTGGGTTGATGTTGACTGCTGTCCACCTGCCCTGGTCCCACCTGGGCACACCTGGTGCATTTTAATTGTTCGTTGACATATGGTATTTTACATGCTTATGGCACCACAGGTGTTTGGTGACCGTGTACCTGCCACCCCCATGCTCTTAAATTATAGAGGGGCAGCACTCCCTGTAGGTGACCCCATGGCCTGTTCTCTGAGGGTCGAGGGGCACCATTGGGCTCAGATGGGGAAGCTTGCTTTCTTCTCCCTGGCATTCTCGGTTATAAGAGCGAAAGAGTCACAGATATCATCGGCACATCCCAGTCATCAGTTTGGCTCTCCGTGCCCTGCATCCTCTCAGGACACAACCTCAGTGCATGTGCTGGCTCACCCTGAGGTGGTGAGCCCACTCAGCCACTTCCCAGATAAACCAGAAATATAGGGAGGCTGGTGTAGTGGCTGCCACAGTGGCTAGACATGGCCTGGACCGGTAGCCACGGCTGCCAGAGTAGCCAAGACCCAGAGGTTGCTGAGATTTGGGTGTGACGATGGTGCCTTCGTGCTAGACAGTGTCTGTGGCTGGGGTAGCTCTGGCCTGCATTTGTTGATTTGCACCTAGTGTATTCAGAGAGCCGAGTTCATCAAAGGTCCCTCTGGCAGGACCCCTTCACTTCTTGTTACATAGCAGGTCCCACCCTCGGAGCATTTTCTGTGTCCTCACCCATCTTTGCATTAGCTGTGAGGCCCCATTCCTGCCCCAGATCCCTGGACCAACCTCAGAAGGGGCTGCATAGAAGCTTCCACCCCCAGTCTCCCTCGCCAACCTCCATTCCCTTCCCACAGAGCGCCGCAGCCAGGGGCTCTCCTCCCGTGTGCAGAAGTGGTTCTACGAGAGGTTTGGCGAGTATGTGGAAGACTTCCGCTTCCAGCCCGAGGAGAACACTGTGGAGACGGAGGAGCCCCTCAGTGCCCGCAGGTAGGGCACCTTACCAAACCTGGCAGGCAGTGTGCAAGGGCCACATCCCTGCACCATGGCTTTGTCAGGTCACCTAGCATTGAGATCCTGTTAATGTGCCTTCCATGAGCTTTACGAGGCCTCCTGTGCCCAGTTTCTGGGGAACCTCTCTGGAGGGGCCAGTGACGGAGTGGTAATTTGTGACAAATATCATGTGGAGATTGTGTGTGTTCAGTGTCTGCTGCCTGGGGCCTTCATCATGGGGGTCACTTGCTGGGTTTAGTGAGTGTCTAGTGGCTTCCCTTGTCAGCCACTGTTGTAGGCTCTGGGGGGCCCTAGAGAGCCAGACTAGCAAGGCATCTGCTCTGGAGGGAGATGTGGCAGATGACAGCAGGTCTGTTGTGGAGTCACCCCACATCTGTAATTTAGGGGAGCAGCGGTGAGAGTCAGTGTACGAGTGGTCTTTGTCACTGTGCATGATGTCACAGGCACCTGAGGGTCCCAGGCCCTTGGATGTCCCCTTGCTGCCCGTGTGGCCCAGGTGCATGGTCCAAGGGGCATGCAGAGCCCACCAGTGAGTTCACACTGAGTCTCCTCTCTCCTCCCAGGTTAACTGAAAACATGAGACGTCTGAGTAAGTACCATGGGGCTGGGTGCCTATTGGGCCAGGGGTTGGGGACACACTGCAGCTTCTGTGTTGTGAGCTGAATAGAACGTCTCCCTGCCTTCCCTGGGAAGAAAGCTTGTGATGGATGTGTGTTTGAAGCCCACCGTGTTCAGGGGCTGATAGGACTGGAGTTTGCTCTAGCCGGTCCACCATTTGGGGTGAAAGATGGTGCACCTTTCCAGTGTTCCCCAAGCCCCAGGGAGTACAGATGACAGTCTCCACCCTTTCTCCTTCTCTGCCACCCGTGGGCCTGCGCTGGGGACGGATGGCATCTCCTCACAGGACCACAGTCAATATCAGGGGAGGCACTGGCTGGCAGCAGCTCCTTCAGTGGGTTGAATTTTGCATTGCTGAGTTGATTTTGCGTTGCTGGAAGCTCCCTGACCTTGCTCAAGTGCTAAGAGCCAGGCTAGTAGCATGCTGACCGCTGTGGTCCGTTTTGTTCCCAGAGCGTGGTGCCAAGCCTGTCACCAACTTTGTGAAGAACCTCTCTGCCTTGTCTGACTGGTACTCCGTCTACACCTCTGCCATCGCCTTCACCGTGCGTGTCCTCAGCGGGCTGGGTTGGGCGGGCAGGGTGCCTGTGCTGGCCCTCCCCACACGGGCCCAGGGGGGCAGCCCCCAGGCAGCTCTTCATCTGTAATGTGGGTGTGTGTAGCAGGTGAAGCATCAGATCAGAGGCTGGCTCCTGGACCCCTGACTGGAACGTGGTCATTTCTCCGCGTGGCCTGCCTCTCACAGCAGTGTCCTCCAGAAAGGCCTCTTAGTACACTGTCTTGGTGATCAACTGGTCTGGGAGTGGACAGTGTTTGTAGAAAATTTGCCTATTTGTGGCCTGAATCCTGGCCATGGAGCCCCAGGGGCTGGGGAGGCTTGGCGTCAGAATGCTGCAGGCTGCCTGGCCACCTGCCAGGGCCTCTGGGTCAGGAGGCCACAGTTTGAACACCTTCCACAGTGCCCACAGATAGTACCCTCCATGTGAGTAGGCTCATTTGTAGAGGTGGCCCTGCTAGCCTTAGCCTAGGAGGGTCCTGAGGACCACCCTAACCCTGAGCCAGGCCCTCTGGTGCCTTCCTCCAAGGCTCTTCCCAGGTTTCACAGGGAGTCGGTTATGTCGTACACTCCCTGCTGAAGCTGTGAGGAAGGGTGCTTCCTGACCTGGGCCCTGAGGTCCCCTTCCCCCGCCACCTTCCCAGATACCCTGCAAGGCCTCCCTGCCTGAGGTCCACATACCCTGTCTCACCTGCTTCTCATCCCTAAGAGATGAGCCCCTGGGTTTAGGCCCACCTTCCAGCTGACCCTCTCTGAGCACTGTTCTGGGCCTGTGGCTCTGTGCTGGGACCTGTGGCAATTCACCTGTGGTCCTCGCCAGTGCAGCCTCCTCATCCGCTGGGCCTTACCCAGGCTGCGGAAGCCACTCTGGGGACAGGCAGGACCCCCTTCATGGAACCCACTAACTTCCTAATCTCCACTCATCAAGGGCAACTTCCTGCCCACTGCCTGCCTGTATGGACCTCTCTCTTAACTGTGGAAACAGCCCTCGTGACTGCTCTGTCCTACAAGCCCTTGTCCCCTGAGAGTTTGCTAGGTGTCAGGACCAGTCTCCTCACTCGGGGTTGCTTCGTTGGTGGGAGGTGGCAGGCGGGACATAGCTTGTACCAGAGCACACTGCTGGTCTTGCTTAACCATGTCCCCACCTCTTGCCCTCTCACCCCCAGGTGTACATGAATGCCGTGTGGCATGGCTGGGCCATCCCCATGTTCCTGTTCCTAGCAATTTTGAGGTTATCCCTCAATTACCTCATCGCCAGGTGGGTGAGCTGAGCTTTCGCATGGCTGTGTTGCCTGTAGCTGTGTTGTATGTGGCTGTGCTGTGTTCCTGCCTTCCTGTACCACTATGACATAAGATGTGTCATGTACTGGCCTTTGTGGATAGTCCTCCAAGTGGTTCTGGAGATCCCCAGGCAGGATTGCCACCCCTCTGTTTGCCAGAGCAGGCAGGGTGGTTCTCGGAGCCCCACTGGGGCTTATCCTGGACAGCCATTGGCATTTGCTGCAGTATTACCCCAATCCCCTCCTCAAGGTGCTGTGTTCGGCAGGAAGTTCTCTCCAACCCTGGGGTGGGTGGGTAAGGCCTCAGGGTTCCATACCCCATGAATCTCCTGATGGTTGTTGGCTCTGAGAAGGAAGTGCTGAGTGAGCAGAGGGTGGAATTCAGTGAGTGGCACACACTCCTACATACACACGCACACCTGCATGCACACATACACCTGCATACACACGCACACATACACCTGCATACACACGCACACCTGCATGCACACACCTGCATGTACACATACACCCGCATGCACACCTGCATGCACTCCACACACGCACACCCGCGGGCACACACACCTGCATGCATACACACACACACACACACACACACACACACACACACACACCTGCAAGGCAGGTACTTCACATCAGCCTTAATTCTGCCAAGCCTAAGACCCTTTCCCCTATCCGAGCATATCTTCCCACGGATGCCCCCACTGGGGTAGGCCCTTACCTGCACTCCTGGTTGGGCTTCACCTGTGGTCACCCACCAAAGTGAACCTCAGCATCGCACCCTGACTAGGAGAGCCCCTGGCTGTCCTCTCAGCCCCTCAGAAGACTATTTTTACTCTCTATCCCGTACCTCAGGCATTCGTTTGAAAATGATGATTGTGGGCTGGAGAGATGGCTCAGTGGTTAATTAAGAGCACTGGCTATTCTTGAAGAAGACCTGGGAATTCCCAGCACCCACTTGGTGGCTAACTCCAGTTCCAGGGGATCTGGCACACTGTACCACGGGGGTGCACTTACACACATGCAGGCAGTACACTCATACATAAAATAAAAAGTAATAAATAGGAGCTGGAGAGATGGCTCAGTGGTTAAGAGCATTGACTGCTCTTGCAGAGGACCCGGGTTCGATTCCCAGCACTCACATGGTGGCTACGAACCATCCTTAACTCCAGTTCCAGGGGAATCCGAAGCCCTCTTCTGACCTCTGCGGCATTGCATGACACAGGTGCACTCACATACATGCAGGCAATACACTCATACACATGAAATAAAAATAAGAAAGTATTTTTTAAAGTGTTATAAAAATTTAAAAAAGAAAATGATTATTACAGAGAACATTAAAATACTCTTGAAGGAGTCATGACTCCCCTTTGGTCCACTAAGAGGCATGGCTGATGTTAATAAAGCTTTATGTAAAGCTAATCAGTGGACAAGGTGAACGCAAGCAGATGTGTGGCGGCTTTACCGTATCATCATCTTGGGCCTTTCCTGCATGTGCTTTAGTAGGGAGGAGCCAGCATGGTAGGGTGACCAGTAGGGTGACCAGAGTGGCCTCAGAGGCCAGCAACAAGGTCCTCAGGAGCCTCTTCTGTGTGACCAGCCCTGGAGGGGCAGAGGGCCCCTTCCCCAGTCGAGATGTCAACTGGTGGCTCAGTATTGTCCCTCAAAGTCTGTGGTTGCAGGTGATGGTCTGTTCATGGTTGTGATGGCTTCTCTTCTCCAGGGGCTGGAGGATACAGTGGAGCATTGTGCCGGAAGTATCTGAAGCTGTAGTAAGTCCTGGGACCAAATTGCCCTTCTGCCTTAGTCAGACCTCAGAATTTGGAGCCAAAGTGTGGGGAGTCCCAGATGAGTGACTTGCCCTGACAGGGGGAGCTTTGACGAGGCCAGTTACCCCACCCTGACTCAGACCCTCAAGTGGACCAAGCTTGGTTACACAGAAGCAGATTGCCCCACTCACGTGTCTGGGCTGACCCTTCCTAGCCAGGATTGATATGGGGGCGACAAGGGAACATGTGTCCCCCACAGTCCCTGAGGTGGGGAGGTGAACAGGAAGCTAGGCAGATATGTCCCAGTCCTAGACTCTGTAGAACCCATATCTGGCCTCTGCCTGGTTTGTAAATAAAGTTTGATTGATAGTCACACATATTTGTTACACATTGTCGTAGGTACTTGGGTGCTACAGTGGAGTAACCGTGATAGAGGCTGTATGACCTAAAACATCTGAAATGCTGACAGAAGTTTGCTCTAAAGGGACATGCGGGCCTATGGGGCAGAGAGAGGCCACAGTGTCTCTTTGGGCATGCCTGACACACTGAGGGATGGGGAGGTCTCCAAGAAGGCAAGCCAATGTCCAGTTTTGTTTTGCCCCAGGACTGGGAGACCCTTGAGAAGTTCTTACTGAAGGAATGCGGAGTCATATGAACTCAAACAGGCCTGGGCCTCAGTTTCCCTGCTTGTCGAGGGGGGTGCAGGCAGTGGGGACAGGACATGCCTTAGAGTGAGCTGGGAGAGGGAGTTGGGGTCTCCTCCTCCACTGTGGAGCCCCACAGCTTGTCCACCCTGCACACTGGGGTGAGGCAGCAAGCACAGGGGAGAGTCCACCCCCAGCCCAGCAGGTGTTTTTGCACACAGTCCTCTGGCTGTGCAGGGACAGCAGTGACCCAGAGACCCCTGGGGCTGGGAGCCTTCATGCTGTTTTGTTGGTAATTTTTCTGAACTGTTAAATTTCAGTGGAAAATTCTCTTTCCTCTTTGACTGAAGGAACCTCCAAAGGAAGATCTGACTGTATCCGAGAAGTTCCAGCTGGTTCTGGATGTCGCCCAGAAAGCACAGGTGCTACCTCTAGGCTTCCCCAGTTCCTCAAGAGGGGGGTACCCCAAACCCAAGGCTTCACATGTGTGTCAGCTGACCTACAGTCACCATGCCTGTTCTTAACTGGCTGTTCCCAATCTGCAGAGCTGGCAAGGGGGCAGGGCCTTCTGCTTAATCTCTGATCTTGTAGGGAGGGAGCCCCTCATAACCAAGGCTGAGCACCTCTGGAAGTCGGAGCTCACTCAGCCTGGTCTGCCCTGTTGCTGCCTACAGTGGTCTTAGCTCCAAACCAGACCCCCCTAACTAGGCAGGGCAGGACCACAGGGCTCTGGCAGCCACAGGGCTCTGGCAGCCACAGGGCTGTGCATGTCCCTGGAGCCCTCTCGATGCGTCTGGGTGACTGACTGGCACAGGGTCTGCGGTCATTGAAGTTTCTTCTTCGTTCAGAATCTCTTTGGCAAGATGGCCGACATCCTGGAAAAGATCAAGAAGTAAGTGTTCAGTTCCCCAGCGAGGGTGGTGTGTCCTGCCCCCACTGACCCCCATCTTCCTTCTAGCTTGTTCATGTGGGTACAGCCCGAGATCACACAGAAGCTGTACGTCGCACTGTGGGCCGCCTTCCTGGCTTCCTGTTTCTTTCCTTACCGCCTGGTGGGGCTCGCTGTGGGTAAGAAAGAGCACCATTACCCTGGGAAATGGTTTATGGGAATGTCACACAAAGGGAGGGGCAGAGCAGAGTGCCTGCAGATGTCTGCATGGACCAGGTTCCTGTTTCCCTGCTCAGGGCTGTATGCTGGCATTAAGTTTTTCCTCATCGACTTCATCTTCAAACGCTGCCCAAGACTTCGAGCCAAGTACGACACACCCTACATCATCTGGCGGAGCCTTCCCACGGACCCACAGCTCAAGGAACGCGCTGGTGCCACCGTGTCACGCAGGGTAAGCCCCCACTCGCCCAGAGGAGGGAGCAAGTGAAACTTTGGAGCTAGTAGGCCCTGACCCGAGGTTTCCTGTATGTGTCTGCTCTCTTGGAGGCTGGTATTTTCTGGATCGTACCAGCCTTTGAGACAATGGAAAACAGTGAGGTTTTTCCCTGTCACCAGCTCTCCTGTTGCTGTGGCCCTCCTTCCGAGTGGGGACCGGCCAACCATGGGAAGAGTGGGCCAACCTGCTCTCCTCAGGGTCATAGATGGGCAGAGAGGGTCTAAGACCATGAGGGTTCCAGGGGAGGTCTAGGAAGGCTTCCATGAGGATGTTACATTGGGGTAGTCCATGTACGAGTGTCCTCTAAGAAGAGGGTGTCCCAGTGACCTGCTGCTGCTGCACTGGGAGAGAGAAGTGCTGAGTTAGGTCTGACGCACAGGCTGGGGTCCAAACAACAAAGCTTGTTGGAAGCCTGAGATCAGCCACAGGCCGGTCCAGCCAGATACAGAGCAGCCTACAGTTCATGGACCAGCTGCTGGCTCTGGTCATACAGGTGGAGGCTAGCCCAGGACACAGCCTGGCCTTTGGGGACAAGACTAGGACCCATTTTGGCCCTGGAGTAGCTGGGACAGGACCTTTCCTAGGGTTCCAGACCACTTAGCACTAACTACTCAGGAGAGAGGAGGGGGAATGTGGGCCGCCACATCCTGGGGTGCAGGCTACCCCACCTGGCCCCTGTGTCCGCATGTCTGTGCTGAGATGATGTGCTCAGCTCTGTGTGCTTGTAACTTCACATCGCCCCTCCTCCTTTTTCTTTTGTGATGGTCACATGTGTGTCTGTTGTCTCCTTTCTGGCCAGCTGTCAGGGCAGACAAGTTACGGTGTCTATGTGGAAGCCCCCTTGGGCCTGCTGTGGACCTGGTGTTGTGTCGTTGCTGTGCTGTGGCTGATTTTCTAGAATTGCTATTGGTGGCCAATTGACTTCTGAAGTTTTAACCTCAGTGCTGGGCACCTGCGTCCTTGGACTTTGGGTGCTGGAGCTCAGACCTAGCCCCCACCACTGTGGGCTAGGGAAGGTTGTGGGTGTCTCCAGGGGCCAAGATCTGCCATGTAGTCCGGGCGGCAAGTGTAACTCTCACTGCCCTGCTGCCACTGGCCCCTCCCCCTAAGGCTGACCAGGGCTGTGTGTGCTGTTGGCAGCTGCAGACAGCCTCCTCACGGAGCTACGTCTCCAGTGCTCCCGCTGGCCTGAGTAAGGACGAAGATGCGGGTCGCTTCCACAGCACCAAGAAGGGCAATTTCCATGAAATTTTTAACCTGACAGAAAACGAGCGGCCGCTGGCGGGTAAGTGTTTGATGAATCTGTGACCCAGCCAAGCATGGGGCAGATGGGAGGCTGGGGGGAGGGCGAGTCTGAACCATGCAGGAGGTGTGACCTCAGCTTCAGGACAGGCTGAAGGAGCCTGTGGGAGAGAAAGCCCAGACCTACTTCCCAGGGGAGGCAGCGTGGGAATTGGGGTCCCAGGTTGTCATCCTGTCAACATGACAGCTACGTTTCCTGCACTGAGTGATTCACAGCAGAGACTCAGTGAGTGAAGCCGTTCAGAGGCCAGAAACTCTAGGAAGCGGGGCTCAGCCCTGCCCACTGTGTTGGGGTTCCATATTAGCAGCAGGGTGTGACCCTGAAGCCCTGAAGCCAGCCGGGTCCTGGCACTTGGACTTGGGTGTATAAACCTGTCACATGTGCCTCAGGAGTTGAGTGTCTAGTTAGCCTTCCAGAAAAGGTGCTCCAGTGAACACCTGAGATACAAACTAAAGCTTGACCCCCTTTCGCCAGTGTCTTCTCCTACCCTGAGGGCCTGGAGTGTGGAAAGCTGCCCAAGCAGTGAGGGCGGCAGCTCGAGTCACCAGGAGACCGTTTCCCAAACACTAGTCAGCCTCCCTTCCCCTGCTGGGGACCTGTGTGTCACAGTGCCAGGGGTGAAACCCAGAGCCCTTCCCACGCTAGGTGAGCGCTGTGCTCCTGAGCTGTTCCCCACCAGCCCACATGTGGACCTTTTCTCATGGTTCTGGTAGACATTGTGTATCTTTGATTGAATTGGTGCTGACAGGCAAAACATCAGTCAAGGCCTGGGTCTTTCCCAGGGAGGAAGTTTCAGGTCTGTTTTCCCCATCAGTGTGCGAGAATGGCTGGCGTTGCTGCCTGATAAATCGAGACCGGAAGATGCCCACGGACTACATCAGGAACGGGGTTCTGTATGTGACCGAAAAGTGAGTGAGGCCGGAGTGTGACTGTGGTGGGAGGAAGTCAGGGAGGGCCCTCCCCAGGACCCAGACAGGACCTAGGTCCAACAAGCAGGCTTGGCAGAGACACGGCCTGGCCTCCCCTCCCCACTCTGACCAAATGCTTAGACCAGCACTGTGGGTACTGACTCACCTGGGGTGCTCATGTAGGGACTGAGTCTCCCAGGAAGGAGACTTGGCAGTGAACTGGGAGGGCCCAGGCAGTGACTTGTGGCTTCTCAGACAGTCTAGCCTGAAGGCAGCTTTGGCTTTTCTCCACTAGATGGAGCTACACAACACCATGTCCTCACCACCCCTCAGCCCTCCCTCTGTTCACCCCTCTCTGCCCTTCCCATGTAGGAGGTGGGGGCCCCAGCAGAGAATGGGGTATGTGGTCAACCTCATGGGTCCCCCCTCTGAGGCCTTGAGGTCTTTGTTACCCACTCTATCAAAGGAGCTGGCCCAGGAGAGTCTAGTCGGGGCTCAGGACATCTCCCTACAGCTCTTGCGGGGAATCTTACGGGAGAGATAGCACAGGGCAGGGTGTGCTGAGCATGGCAGGTCCCTGACCGTCCCTTGGGGCCATGGAGGCCGTGGTTGGGGGGACCCCACTTGGCAGCAGGACCCCCTCTGGCCCAGGTGCTATCTTGTGCCTCTGCATTTCCTCCCCATCTAGTTACCTGTGCTTCGAAAGCTCCAAGTCTGGGTCGTCAAAGAGGAACAAAGTGATCAAGCTGGTGGACATCACAGACATACAGAAGGTGGGTGCCATCCCGCCCGCCACACTTGGGTTGTCCCCAAGAGTCAGAGGCCAGGAGGCTGGAGGAGTTTGCTGGATGTGCTTGCAGGATTGGGGGAGGTGTTGGCTAGAGACACTGGTATGGACACCACTATTTACAGTTTGCTTTCTGGAAACCATGCCAAGCCTGTCAGCTTCCTTCTGAGAGTAGTTGTAGATGTGTGCCCTGAGCCACACGGTTTGGTGCAGCCTCAGTTTCTCCCACAGTCCTGGGGGTCGGTACTGTCTGGTCTCTCAGGCAAAGGGGATGATGAGAGGCGCCTGCCCTACTGTATATTTTCATTTGTTTTTCCTAAGACAGGGTCCCACGTAGCCAAGGCTGGCCTCATGCTTGGTTTTATAGTGCAGCTGGGGATCAAACCCAAGGCTTCTTGCTTTTAAGCAAGCACTTACCAACTGAGCTACGTCCCAGCTCCAGCTGGGTGTCTTAAGGAGTGTAAGGAATCCAATCGCAGTGCCTCCCCTTCTGTTTCTGAAGAGAGATGCACCCGCCCACACACACTGCAGAAAAGTTGGGCATCTGTTGCAGGCACTGACTTATAAGCGGGCACACACAGATATTTGTGTCCATGGAGTGAGGCCTAGCAGCTTCCCCAGTGGGTTAGCGTGTGGAGTGTGTGGTGCCCCGGGGACAGTGATGGGGGGTGCTTGTTTTCTGGGACAGAGGCAGCATTTCTTGAGACAATAGGCATGCCCATCTTGAAGCACAGGGCCCTCCAGCCTCTGGGGCACCAGGCAGGTGGCCTGGCTACGGGATAGACCAGCAGTTGCCGTGGCAGGTCCCTTCCTTCCATCCGTGGATGTGTGGCACCCCTCTCCAGGCACACAGATAACCAGAATGTACCTGATCTGGGCCAGGACTCTCCCAGCGTACCTTTGGGAGTGGCTCTAGTGACTCAGTGCCAGGCCCTGAGAGTGAGGTCTGGGGCCTGTTCCCACATGCAGTGTACTGCCTTGAGGATCTGCCCTCCCTGGCCTCACACTGGCCATTGGCCACCTAGGGTAGGAGGGACACACTGCTGACAAGTTTGGTTTCTTGGTCACAAGATCAGTTTTACAAACTCTTGTGGCTGGGATTTCTCAGGTCTCTGTGGGTGTTGCTGTCTGTGTGCTTGGCAGAGAATGCCCTGGGCATGTGTCCCTGGGAGAGGCCTGTGGTGACGGCTGTGCTGTTGTCTTTCAGTACAAAGTCCTGTCTGTCCTCCCTGGCTCGGGCATGGGGATTGCCGTATCGACTCCATCCACACAGAAAGTAAGTGCCAGGCAGGTGTCCCCACAGGGATCTGGGCATAGCTTTGAACCTCTCAGGAATGTGATTTCAGCTTGAGCATTGGGGGAGGGTCCTCCCCTCTCCCTCTGCCTGGGAACCTGCTGCATGGAGTCAGGGTTCAGCTAGCTTTGCCTGGGTGGGGGCTGTAGTCATAGTACAGACACATTGGTGAGAGAGGCTCTCTCACACATTTGGGGAGGAAAGGCTGAGTCTGTGGACTGTGTTCCCTGCTGCTTGCAGGCTGGGGCCTCCTGGGTCAGAGAGGCATCTGGTCACCCAGGTCCCTCCAGGCCGCTGCTATGGCCTCTGCTGCTTGCAGGCTGGGGCCTCCTGGGTCAGAGAGGCATCTGGTCACCCACCAGGCCGCTGCTATGGCCCGGTGGAAGACGTCCCTGTTCTAGCCCAGCCTGGCTGTGAAGCCCTCACCCTCCCCTTCTCTTCCTGCCAGCCCCTGGTGTTTGGTGCCATGGTGCACAGAGATGAGGCTTTTGAGACCATTTTCAGCCAGTACGTGAAAATCACATCATCGGCAGCCTCTGGCGGCGACAGCTAGTATCAACTCCCAGGTGTTGCTGGAATCCTTTCTAACAATTGGGTAGTGGAGCAGATCCCATGTCCTCATGATCTTTTGCAATAATTCCCCTGGACTGTGGTTTGTTATGTTGGCCCAGGTTCTGCAGACGCCTTCACCAAAGGGCTGGGACTCATGAGGATGAGACTGTACTGGGCACATAAAGCACTTAGTGGACACCTGTGGGCAGGGGCAGGTAGAGAATCCTCAGGGCCTGTTTGAAGAAAGGCACACAAGACATTCGTGCCCAGGCTCTAAGCACAGCCCCTCAATGTTCTTCATCCCGGCCTGGGTACAGGCCCAGCACCTGCCATTGTAGGAAGCCCCATTGACCCTGTGACACCCCCCCCCCACCCTCCCACTCTGCGGAGGCCAGAGGCTTTTCTCTGCCAAAGCCATAGCTGGGAGCATCTGGCCTCCTCCAGGCGGGTTGGTAAGACATTGGTGAGTCATGTGGAGTTCCCTCTCCAACCTCCAAGAAATGGTCAGTCATCTTACTTGGCCCTCAGGGAACCCCTCCTTCCTATTGGCCTGCTGTGGGCACTGTGAGGCTGTGAGTAGGGATTCTCAGGGCTGGGTCTAGACCACCACTCATCTGTCCATCCTGGCCTGACACACTCCAGCCATGAGGCCTGTGGTTGGTGGTCAGTGAGGGCACAGAATGGCATGCAGGTAAAAGCACATCTTTTTAACACTTTGCTCACTGGGAAGGCCCAGGAGACCACTGGGAAGGCCTTGAAGGTACTCTAGGCATTGGCTGCTGCCAGGTGAAAGATCAATCCTGGTCCGCCTGGCGTTTGGCCTCCAGGCTGCAACCTCTCCTGGTAACGGGATGGGGTTACAGGGCTGGCCTGGAGAGGCCACCAAGATGATGTGTGAGGACCCTCTGCTGTAGGGGACAGATGTTAGCAGAGCCCAGAAATGGGGGCCTGGGCTGCCCTGCACCCCTGACATCTGACAGTATTCTCTCTTACTGCATGCCCAGCAAGGGCCAGGCAGACCATCCCCCCATCTACTGCCTCTTGCCCTAGCAAAGCCCATGCTGCTGAGGGCACAGCAGCTCTCCCGGAGGTCAGGGGGAGGAGGGTGTCTTGCAGGCCATCTATTCAGAATGTCTGCACTTGGTTTTGAATCACAAAGAGCTCTGTCACAGAGTCCTGGAGCAGGCCTGGGCCTCTGAAGGGTGCAACCACCACCCTACCTGTGCGATTTCTGCCTTCTAGGGTGGATGACACTAGTTCCTTCAGCTTGTCCTTCAGGCGTCACTGAGATTGTTGTTTTTTGAAGAAACAGAAGATTATATTTTTTACAGAGAGCAAGCTGTTTTTCTTATTTTTATATCATTTTTCAAGTGTAATTTTTACCTTTGCTCCAACCCTCATTTGCGGATGAGGTTGTGAGGCCTGGTGGCTTAGGCTCATGATGCCCCATCCCCTGGGGCTTCAGGGCCACACATTGGGGCAGGGGACGGGCATGCCAAGCAGACAGATGCAGCACACATCCCACCCCAGAGTGCAATGAAGGCCACACAGGTCCGGCTACATGGATGCTGGCCATCAGAGGACTGTAAACATGGAGGCAGGACCCTCCACCCAAGGCCGTGGCTTGGGCCCTTCTATGGACTCCTACCCTCAGCAGCATGGGGTGGGATGAGGCAGTACCAGAGGGGAAGCAGGGTAGGCCTTGACCTGTTTCCAGGGATGGCTGTAGGGGTGATGCCCACAGGTAGTGGTTAAGGCTTTCTGGGCCCTGGCGGCTGGGATCAGTGAGTGCTACCTCAGAGTCGCTCTGGGATGCTGTCCCCAGTCACCGTGGGGAGGGGCCCCTGAGCAGAAAAGGCAAAGCAGGTGGTTTAGTTTGAGTCCCTTTCACTGAGAAAGGGGGATGAAGACTGACCACAGACCAGGGCAGCAAGCTATGAGCTGACGAGCTGGCGAGCAGCAGGACCTTAGATGGAGCCCAGGTGGGCAGAGCTGGGCCAGGGATCTGTGTAGGTACTGGCCATCCTGACCGAGAGACTGGGTGGGGGTTTTACTGGCTCATGTGAATCTGGGCAGATATTTAATTTCTGTGACTAAACGCTGAACTAGAATGAATGTTAAATTTTGTATGTCTGAAGCTTGAGTCTATTTTGGATCTGTACATAACTGTTACTGGTGTAACTTTTGACAAAGGGATTGTATTCTATGAAGAACTGATAGAAAAAAAATCCTGTCACTTTTTTAAAAGGAAACATTGTTTAAATAAAAAGTCTTGTATAAATTATAATTTTTATTTAAATAAACCTAAAATGCTTTATGCTAAGGCGGGGCCTCTGTGTTCTTGGCAGAGTGTGTGGATGTGAGTTGGAGTGGCTGGGTGACCCTCCCCCAGGTCAACACTGGAGCAGTGTCTCCATGGTTACCAGTTCAGTTCACAAAGCCGCTTAGGTGAATGAAGGCTTAGGGGTGAAGTGGGGCCTGGGGAGTGGGTGCTGGCGGGAACAGGAGTGCTCAGTTGGGACCCTGGTGTCAGGAAGTTGGAGCGGGAGGCAAGCCTTGGGTCCCGGAAGCAACAGGGGGAGGTGGCTGGCATTGGGTGTGTGGCACGGGAGTGAGCTGAGGTAGGGAGTGCTGTCTGGAGACAGCAGTGCCTTGGGATTGGCGTGTAGGTCTTGGCTCCACTAAGCTGTATTCTTATGCCTCCCTGTGTTCCTGGGAGAAGGGTCCCTGACAACACTGGCTTCACTGATTCGGGGCCCCACGCTGGACACAACCCACCCAGCTTCCAAAACCTTGAAAGTCAAACTTAGATAGGCACATTGATGGTGCCTGCCCCCTGCCCCCACCTGCCACACGCCAAATGAGCCCCCTCAGGAGGTAGAAGCTGCCAAAGCCTCTTGGAAAGGGGCTGGAACCAGTGGGAAAAGGAGTGTGGCAACAGGAGATTGGACATTTCCCTGTTTCATCCATCTAGTCACACGTCCTTCTTCCATCTGCCCATTCACCCACGCTCACATCTACCCATCTGTTGGGAAACCCTGCTGCTAGGGTTGTAGTCCTCCATGTCCGGATAGCTCTAAGGGGCTCGGTGCCAAATGGAAGGACTCCCCTTTTCAGCACCTGCTGTTAAGGTTGGCTCCTTTCTCAGCAGGAGCTTCCTGCCTGACTTACCTGGAAAGTGTTGCCAAGCATGGATGCTTGGCCTCATTTAAAACATGACCTTTGGCATAGTTACCTGGATTAAAAACTACCCCCAGGTTTTTTCTATATGATAATTAGGCATTGTTCAGTAGTCGGATGATAGGAGCCCACTGCCACATGTAAATAAAGCATACTATGAGCACCTATCAGCTGAGGCTTCGGCTACTGCCTCCACACTATATTTTCCCTAACATCCCACTGAATAAACGGAGCTGTTTCACTGAATCTAGAGCTGTTTCACTGAGTCTGGAGCTGTTTGCATCATTGAACCTGCGGCCCCAGAAGGGCTTTCTTCCTTCCATCAGTGCTCACTGGCCGTCCTGACCCCGCTCATCACTTCTGCTCCCCTTGTCCTTGTGGACCTGTGGCCAACGACCCATGAGGAGAGGGAGAGACCCCACACCCATCTGTCCATCCCACCCACCCACCTTTCTATATGTTCATCATCCACCCACCCACCCAGCCACCTTTCTATATGTTCATCATCCACCCACCCAGCCACCTTTCTATATGTTCATCATCCATCCACCCATCCACCTTTCTATATGTTCATCATCCACCTACCCATCCATCTTATCCCTCACTCCCTCCAGCCACAGCACATACTATTCTAGGTGCTGGAAAACAGCAAAGGAGAAAGCTCCCTGGGAACTTGGTAAAACTCATAGCTCCCTGGGAACTTGGTAAAACTCATAGCTCTCCTGAGAGCACACCCCACTGTGCCAGCCCTAGCCACCCCCTCACTCACTCTCCTCCACCCCTCTGTAGCCTCCCTTGCTGCATGGCCTCCTCAGCTACACAGCACCCCCATACCCAGTCCTGTTCAAGCTCCTCACCTATCTCCAGGTCAAGTGAGGTGGGTGACATGTGGCCACAGATGGTCACAGCTGCCACTAGGGCTGGTTGTGTGGAGACAGAGGGGTTCTCATGCTCAACGCAGCACAGCTGTCCTGGGCCGGGGCACAGCTGCACTAGAAAAAGAGCACATCACAGGGCAACATGTGATGCAGATAGCCCTGGAGAAGACCGGGAAGGGACCCCCCCCAAGACTATAATGGAGTGGAATGACCCTCCAGGGGGACATGGGGTAGATCCACCAGGGGTGGAGGATATGGAAGGGGTAGGGTGGTGTTTAGTTTCTTAGTATAGCTCTTTGTTCATTTTATTCTCATAAGTTCATAAATTGGCTGCGTGTGGTGGTGCACGCCTTTAGTCCCAGCACTCGGGAGGCAGAGCAGGCAGATCTCTGTGAGTTCAAGGCCAGCCTGGTTTACACAGTGAGTTCCAGGCCAGCTGGGGCTCCAAGGAGACCTTGTCTCAAAAAGACAAAAAAAAAAAGTTCATAAACTGTATTTTCAGAAATAACATGAATGTATAAGAGGAAGAAAAGGCAAATTCTGCCCAGAGTCACTTTATTTTTTGTCTTCTCAAACATATCATATCAAATATGCCATTTTCTGATCTTGAAGCCAGCAAGACAAGAAGGCATATGGGGCCATTCTCCAGTCAGTGTTCCCGGTTCCAGGAAATTATACCTAGAACCAGAGCAACTCTGGGGAACAGGCCACTGCCCATCCCCACTGCATAATCCCCATGAACAGTAAGTTACCACACGACTGCCACCTAACTTGTGCACTTGTGAACCACAGTTAAGTTAAATGTGGTCTAGCCCCTACGGGATCCTGAGCTGCCACTAACCTTCACTCTTTATCTCCTAAAATCCCTAAAGCGCCGGGGTTGGTATCTAAAAAGCATCACAGAAACTGCAGCCCACTCTTTGGGGATGTCAAAGGCCCCTCCCATCCTCTGCACAGGTGTCGGGGGGATGCTGGGTGTCCACACTCGTGGCATCTGATAGCTCCAAGGTTTGTGATTTTGAACATTGCCTGCAGCTGTTATAGATCATCACCAGAGCATCCTAGACCCAGATCCCTCCTCCTGGACTGGCAGTGGCTGGGGAGAACCCAGGCATGGGCAACACATAGCAGGGCTAATAAAGACTGAATTCTCAGGGAGAGCACAGGTCCTGAGAGCCAGGGATGCCACAGCTGCCTCAGGCTCTCCTGAGTCCCTCTGGAATGCTGGAGGTGAGCAGGCAGTGAGGCGGCTACCCGAGTGCCTGCACCCCGATGCTGCTCCAGGGCTGCCCACTCCCCCAAACTGCCATTCCTATACCTTTGGGTTCTGTCCATCCAGGAACAGACCAGAATAGAAACTGCTGGGCTTGTTACTCTTTCTACGCAGGTTTTTAACTCGACAATTATGAAATGGCTCCACTGTCCAATTACCTGTAATATGGTCCCTACAGAGCCGCCTTTAACAGCTTCCCTTGTGTCTGGATGGGATTTCATGTATGCTTCAAAATATAAATCAAGGGATCCTAGAAATAGGTGCTGCCTGTGAAACAGAGTGGTCCATGTGAGATGCACACCCCAGTGACAGAACATAAAACGTGCCCTTGTAACCGTCAGTGCCCCCCCACTTTGCAAGTCAAGTTTAAGTTGCATCTTCTAGAACTGTACATAAAACTCTTACATACATCTTCCCATATGATCAGTCTGGAGACACAGCTTGGGCTGTAGCACGCCACTACAGAATCCCTGGGTCAGGAATGCCTTCAGAGGAAACTGGTCATGAACCCAGGGCTTCAGCAGGAAGCAGCTGCAGCCCCTTCAGGGAGACAAGACGTTGGTCATACCCTCCTGATAGACAACGACGCTTTCAATAAATACGTGGAACCCAGGGTGAAGGAAAAACTGATGTGGGCTGTGAGGAGACTGGGAGCCCACACCAAAGTACCTGGGGATGACCCGGGATGGTCCACCACCCTGCTGGTGGTGCTCACATTGAGGCAGATGCAGTATTCACAAAGTGCCCTCTGTGTATGCTGGCTGCCCCATCCCCCCATAAAACCCATTTGTGCCAAACACTTTAATTCTGGCTAGAGCCTCGTTTGCCAGTGCTTTGGACTGCCCTGGCCAGGGTGTGAACGCCGTTGGGTTGGTAGAATGAACCCCCAGTGGGTGCTTTGTTGGATTGTCTTACGGGATGCGGCTGAGACAGAAGCGAACATGGGGATCCTGAGGACGAGGTGGTGGTCCAAGCATCTTCTTGCTGTGGTGCGACACCGCTGTGCACAGGACCATGCTGCATTACGTTTGCAGTGTGTGGTTAAGGACTGCACAGCAATGTCCTGATCCTAAATGAAGATATGTAGGAAGTGATGGCACAGAGAACCATCTGCTTTCCCACCTGGTCACAAACAACTCCAGAATAAAATCTTGCAAAGGGGATCACGTGTCTAGATGGTATAACCTGTTTCTAGGAAGTAGTCATAATACAATGTCCCTAAAATTATTGCAGTAGAGTCAGTAATGGGCTGCTCTGAAATTTGCACAGTTGGCATAGCAAGAAAATCTAACCAACCAATGCCCTCAATCCAGCAAGTGCTTGCTGAGAACCAGTTACGTGAAATGCAACTCAGATCTGCATAGAACTGAGGACACCACGTGTAGGACACTGACAGAGCTGTCTTCTAAAACCAAGATTTACCTATCAAAAATAAATTTCTAAATTTAAATGGCTATATCAACGTAATTGGTCTGTCGAAATTTTCTTAAATAATTTTCACATTCCCCAAGCTCAAGGTGGATGACATGTTACGGCTTCTCAGCTGTGAGGGTCTCGCTTAGGCTTCTCTTCAATCCCCCTTGCAAACAGGCGCACCAGTTGGCAGTGGACCCTGCAGAGACAAACAGCCACATTAATCCCATGCGTGTTCTCCAGCAAGCAGTTATTCTGAGCCCCACACCTTCTAAAACCTTCCAGTCCCCCTTCAGTCTTGTAACCACATCCAAGTCAAAAGTACGTTTTGAAAAAATAACTTGCTTTACTCTTTCCATGGGGAAAGAATTTTCCTTGTTTTTCTCTTCCATTGGGTTCTACCCCAATACCACACTGGCTGAGGAAGACAAACAGCCCCACCAGATGGGACACCAGGAAGAGTGGGCATGACACCTTCCACCTGGTACTGGGCACTCAAGGATTAGTTAGCAAGTCTTCAGGGGTGAGTCGAGTTCTGAGGTTGGCATCAACCCCGCAGCTTGGCTAAAAGTGACTCTGAGCTCCCCTTGGGTACCTAGGTGGCCAAATGGGGAAGCTCAGTGTGTGGGGACCACACAGTCAGCAGTCCTGGGAGCCTAGGGTGCCCCAAGCTCTACCTGTACATCCTTAGTGGTCACCCTAGGCTCCCAGGACTGCTGGGCTGTGTGGTCCCCACACACTGAGCTTCACCTCTGTGGTACCTCCTCCCTCTTCCTGGCAGCTTCAGGGTGCCCTTCCCAGCCCTTTGGTTTCCTGACTGGGTCACTACCCACTCCTACACTGAGCACCCATCCCCGGAGGCCATCAGATACTTATGGGGGGACTTGGGGAACCCAGGACTTAGGAAGTGCCCTTTCAGTTCTATTTTCTTGCAAATTTCACAATTTCTTTTTTTTTTTTTCAGAGCTGAGGACCAAACCCAGGGCCTTGCGCTTGCTAGGCAGGCATATTATTATTATTATTATAAACAGGATCTCCTGAAGCCCCAGCTGGCCTGGAACTCTCTACGTAGACCAGCCTGGCCTCAAACTCCCAGAGCTCTGCCTTTGGAGGGCTGGTATTAAAGGTGTTTGCCACCTTGCCTGGTTGATTTTTTTAAACTTTTATTTTGATGTGTATGGGTGTTTGGAGTGCACATATGTGAGCTACACACATGCAATGCCTGTGGAGGTCAGAAGAGGGTGTCAGATCCTTTGGAACTAGAGTTACAGACTGTTGTGAGCTGCCATGTGGGTGCTGGGAATCGAACCTAGTCAGGCAGTGCTCTTAAAAGCACAGCCATCTCTCCAGCCCCTGTGTTTTTTTTTTTTTTTTTTTTTTTTTTTGACTACTTAGGGAGAGAGACAGTGACAGAGACCGAGACCGAGACAGAGAGACAGACAGACCAGGCAGAAGTGATCAAGGGCAGAGTGCAAACTGGCAGGGAAGGGAACAGCACAGAGGCGCCACAAAAGCCATGAGAGGAGTCTGGAAAGCAGTGTCCGCCGTCAGCGCCGGCCACGTCCAAACCTCAGACTTCCAATCTCCTTCCACATCCCGGCAGGAGCCCCCTGCTTTCCGCTGCAGACTGAGCTCGCCGTGCAGTCTGCAACCTGCAGCTTGCTTTCCAGGCCGCGGCTGGGGCCCCTCTGCTCACCTGACCTCGATGGTGGGGCTGTGCAGGATCTCCCCGTCGCAGTTCCAGGAGCTGCTGGAGGCTGAGAGGCCGCACATGGGGCTGTCGTTGCAGATGTGCCCAAACCTCTGCTTCCCGCGCTCCTTGAGGTTGCTGTCCTCCTCCTCCGTGGGCTTCGATGTGAACTGGAATTTCTTGACTCGATAAACGTCAACAAAAGTGAAGTCGAACTGCCGAGAAAAAGTGCGGGGTGGTCAGCCGGGGCCTTCCACCTCTGCTGGTTCAGCCGGACCCAGGCTCCGGCGAGCGCGGCCTTGAGCAGCACCTCTGAGCCACGGCCCTCCTCACCTGATGACTTGGGCAGGACGTGCACAGCTTCACACAACTGCTGATGCTTTTGAGATCCCAGGTCCCCCACAGTGATGAGCTGCTTTAAGGAGCTCGCGGTTCCTTGGTGGTGATTTGTAGAATTCCCTATTCTTTTCAACAAGCACTATTTTAAAAGCCACATTAGGGGCTGGAGAGATGGCTCAGTGGTTAAGGGCACTGACTGCTCTTGCAGAGGACCTGAATTCGATTCCTAGAACCCACATGGTGGCTATCAACTATTCATAACTCCAGTTCCAGGGGAATCCGATGCCCTCGGCTGACCTCTGAGGACACTGCACAACACAGGTGCACTTACATATACGTAGGCAGTATGCTCATACACATAAAATAAAAATAAAAAATATTTTAAAAATGTATTAAAGCCACATTAAGGAAATCCCTTGACTACATCTTAAATGCAACTGAAGTTTTTTTTTAAAAAAAAGTTTTACTGCTGGGCATGGTGGCGCACACCTTTAATCCCAGCACCCGGGAGGCAGAGGCAGGTGGATCCCTGTGAGTTCAAGGCCAGCCTGGTCTACATAGTGAGTTCCAGGCCAGCTGGGGCTCCAAGGAGACCCTGTCTCAAAAAGATCTAAAAAAAAAAAAAGTTTTACTAAGGGGCTGGAGAGATGGCTCAGCAGTTAAGAACACTGGCTGTTCTTACAGAAGACCCAAGTTTGAATCCCAGTACCCACATGGCCACTAACAACTGTCCGTAACTCCAGTTCCAGGGGATCCAATGGCCTCTTCTGACCTCCGCCCATGCACAACACAGGTGCACTTACCTACATGCAGGGAATGCAAGCATATACATAAAATAATAAATAAAATAGATTTTTAAATTTGTTTACTAAAACTAGAGACTGGGTTGGTGAGACGACTTACTAAAGTGCATGAAGACCTGGGTTCAGATCCCCAGCACCCATGTAAGAAGCCAGGCACCAAACTGCTTGTCTGAATCCCAGCGGGGAGGCAGAAGGGGACAGAGAATCCCTGGAGTTTCCCTAGTAAGTGAGAGGCCCTGTCTCAAAACAATAAGGTAGAGACAGATTGAAGAAGATGGTCAAAATCCACCTCAGACTTCTAAATGCATGTGCACCTGTGTAGGTGCAACACACACACACACACACACACACACACACACACACCCTGGAGACTATGAGCAAAATGTCCAACCCTCTTGATATGATTAGACTCATCCTCCATATGTTAAAGACAGGATCACCAGTGTAGACAGGAGGGCTTGATCGACGCTCTGAACGCAGCCCACTTCTGGAGCCTACAGACTACATTCTAAGTGGCCTGAAGACTAACGAAAACCTGTACCCAACTGCTTTGTTCTGCTCTTAAACAGAAAGCACAGTGATGGGGGGAGTCACACAAACACCCTTGACTCTCGTTTTCTTTAACTTTTTTTTGGGTCTTTTTGAGACAGGGTCTCCCTGTAGCCCCAGCTGTCCTGGAACTCACTATGTAGACCAGGCTGGCCTCGAACTCACAGAGATCCGCCTGCCTCTGCCTCCTGAGTGCTGGGATTAAAGGCGTGCGCCACCACACCCGGCCACATTTATTATTTTTATGTGTATGAGTGTATTGCCTGCATGTATCTAAGTACGCCCATATCATGCAATGCTCTCGGAGGTCAGAAGAGGGCATCAGATCCCCTGGAACTGGAGTTAGGATGGTTAGGGGCCATGTGGTACTGAGAATTGAACCTGGGTCCTCTGCAAGAGCAGTGAATGCTTGTAACCGCTGAGTCATCTCTCCAGCCCCATGACTCATTTTCTATATTCAAAAAGTGATTCATTTATTCATTTTAAAAAATTTATTATTTTTATGTGTAACAATGTATTGCCTGCATGCGTGTAACTGCACAGGAACTTCCTAAATGTCAATGGCTGTCCACTGAGCCCAGGGTAGAGGGCACGCCTCACCTGGTCATACTGGTTGGTGTGCCTGACGAGGAATCGCAGGAAGTTGAACCTGGAGCACTTCCGGATGAGGATGAGGTCAGAAGACCCATCTCCCAAATGGGCGGCCGGGGACAGGCCTCCAGGGCTCCGGGGACAAGCGCAGGACATGTTCGTGGCGTTGATGGCCAGAAACTTCCCATTGATAACTTGCCACTCCTCCACCTCCTCTGCAGCAGAAAGAATCGGGATTGGTATTACAGTTCCCGGTGGCACAGGGGCGGCCATGCCGTGGTGATGAGGCAGATAGCTGCCATCCCCCCACCTATGTGTTCCTGGCTTCCCTCCTGCCCTGACGTCCAGGACAGCGTCCCCACTGGCAGTGCCAGATGTGCCCACTGTGGAGCTGCCCGCCCACTTGCCTCAGGAAGTCGCACTGAGTGCTGGACCTGAAGTCACTTCCTGAAAGACAGAGGTGTGCTCCCTGCTGCTCCCTGCTCCTCACAAGGGCACTTCTGGACAACAGTTTAGCATAAGGGTGAGCAGACCCCCTACAGGGGATAACCTGGTCCACCACTTCCCTCTGTATGGCTTAGGGGCCACGAATGGTTGCCACAAACTTAAATAGCTGGGGGAAAAATGGAATAATGATAGCTTGCATGTAAAAAACACAAGAAACTCCAATCCATAAAAACTCTGCCTACTACACTGTCTATGGCTGTCACAGCTGCAGGAGCAGAGATGGTGTTTGAGATATGACAGAGACCCCACCCTAGGCACACCATAAGGAAGGTATTCACCCAGCCAAGACCAAAGAGAACATTTGCCGACCAGCCCCCGTATTCTGAGCGGGCAGCTCCGCAGCCTCAGCCAGCCTGGCAGTGGCAATAAGAGAGGGGACAGCCAGAAGAGGCAGTGTCCTGAGCGATCGCAGTGAGCTCCCTGACGGTGCATTACCGGCATTCTCCAGGCCGTACGAGGCCTTCTTCTGCTCCTCCTCCAGCTGCTGCTTGCTCTGTCTGCACACGAAGCACCTGAAAGGCAGGAGTTCCGTTGCCCTGCCTCGTGTTTGACAACGAAGCCCTGGGCTTGGCACATACTCAAGCATTACATGGGGCAGGAGGGCATGGCTCAGTCTGCTCTTGCAGAAGACTCAAGTTTGGTTCCCAGTACCCACGTCAGGCAGCTCATAGCCACCCGAAACTCCAGGTCCAGGAGGATCCAATGGCTCTGGCCTCCACAGGCACCTGTACTCATGTGCACACACACTATAAACAAAAATAACACCAGGCGTGGTGGTGCACACCTTTAATCCCAGCACTCGGGAGGCACAGGGAGGTGGATATTTGTGAGATTGAGGCCAGCCTGGTCTACATACTGAGTTCCAGGCCAGCTGGGGCTATGGGAGACCCTGTCTAAAAAATAAAAATAACAAAAATAGAGATCTTAAAAGCATTTAAATTCCTTTCAAATAATAAAAAGCTCAGTTTCAAAAGTTTGACTAGAAAGTATTCTTTAGCATACTAATTTGAATTCTCAAAATCAGATCTATTTTTAAATTTACACCTATGAATCAACAGGTCCTTCTCCAAGATTTGAAAACATTTCAAGATGCACAGCTAAGACAGACTTGACCGCCCAGCAAAGGCCATGTGAGTGGCAACTTGCAAACTCCACCAATGCAGACTTGGGGAGAGAGCATCCTTACTTCAGGTAACAAGTATGAAATCGCACGTTTCCCTCAAGAGTAGCTCAGACCCGAGTCCCTGGCTTAGTGCATATTTCTGGTCTGAGCACGACCAGCACCGCACCAAGTAAAAGGGTTCCGACTATGCAAAATCAGCTCACAAAGTACTGAGTCTAGCCATGCAATGACTAATAGTCTCAATCTCTTCACTTAGGACTTGGGAAGTCTGTAGGAAGGAAAGGACGGTGTGTGCTTCAGGTTGTGTGGGCCTCAGATGGGCCATGGGCAGGTGGGGGAGACAGGCCTCCACGGTCCACGTGGCCTAGATCTTGATTTCTTACACTTCCTTTTTTTTTTTTTGGTCGTTTTGAGACAGGGTCTCCCTGTAGCCCCAGCTGTCCTGGAACTCACTATGTAGACCAGGCTGGCCTTGAAATCACAGAGATCTGCCTGCCTCTGCCTCC